ATAGCTATATCTGAACCGATCTTCACCAAATTTGATATACTAGCTTCTAGACTCAATTCGGTCGTAAGTGCCAAATTCTATCCCATTTGGACAAATATTTAGTGTACAATAAAATCAAATCTCAACCGATCTCGATAAAATTTGGCATACTTATTTTGAGGCCTAATTTGGTTGTATGTGCAAAATTTCATACTATTCGTGCTGATATTACACGTTTGGTGCACAATAAAAAGCAAATCGGACGACGATATATATGGGAGTTATATATAAAATCTGATCGATTATCTCCAATTTCAATAGGGTTCGTCCTTGGGTCAAACAAATGATTTGTGCAAAATTTCATCTGGATAGGGCAATAAATGCGAACTGTACTTTGTTTACAAAAATACATGGACAGACGGACGGACGGGCGGACGGGCGGACGGACGGACATGCATAAATCGACTCAAAATGTGATTCTATGCCGATCAAAAGGAACTATGGGTCTATCTCATTTCCTTTTGCCTGTTACAAACAAATGCACAAAGACATAATACCCTGACCACCTTGTTGGGTAGGGTATAAATACAAACTAATACTAATACTTTGTAATACTACTAACCAAAGACCAAAATATACCCCTTTGTGGGCTCGCTTGAAGAACTAGAAAATATTCGTGTTTTTATCTAAAAATTATCGAATATATGAAATGAAAATTTTAAAAAATTTGGAAGAGGTGGACTTGTCTCTTCCACTTAGACTTCAAAACTCCTGTCCATGTGTCTATTTTTTTTTTTTGGATCTACTTTCGTAATCTGTTGGAGTTGGAAAAAGTGCAATCAACTTCTGACTGCTGTCATTTCTAAGCCACTCGTCCGACAGCTGTTAAAATTATTCCAGTGACAGCTCATTATATTGTTTACAAGTGTACAAAAGCATTGTGGTGAGAATTTTCCAGAAAAAATGTTATTCATGATGGAATTCAAGCGTGATAGCGTGTTTTCTTTATATGTAGCTGAAAAACCACTATTGGCTATCGTTAGAGCATTCCAGCATTCAAATGTGAATAAATCGTTTGTGTCTCGTACCATCGCTCGTTACCGTGATACTGGTAGCGTAATTAGACGTCAAGGAAGTGGGAGGAAGAAAACAGAAACATCAGCAGAATAGGTTCGAAAAGTAAAGAAGCGACTTGATCGAAACGCGCATCGCAGTGGTCGAAAAATGGCTCGTGAGCTGAACATATCGCAATATTTTATTCGGCAAATATTGAAAAATGAGCTCGGGATAAAGCCATTGAGAATCCAAAAAAGTGCAAGAAAATACACCGCAACAGAAAGAAAATAGACTCAAAAGAGCTAAAGAGTTGCTTTGCTTGGCCGAAAGTGGTGAACTGCCGAATTTAATTTTCTCCGATAGGAAAACATTCGTTGTCCAGCAGTTTGTAGACAAAAAAAATTATGGTGTTTATTTACCAAAGAGGACAGCTGAAAATGTGCACCTTCAGTTGGCCAATAGATCTCAAGCGCCGGACATGGTGATGGTGTGGGCAGCCGCCATAACAGCCGATGGTCGTTCTCCGCTAGTGTTAATCGATCGGGACATCAGAATAAATGTCGAATATTATCGCAAAAATATGCTGGAGGGTCGCAGTCCTTGGACATTTCAACAGGACTCAGCACCATCGCTCTCAGCAAAATGAGGTTCCTCGCTTAATTTTCAGCGCACCATGGCGACCAAAATCTCCGTATACCAATCCGCTGGACTGTTGTGTCTGAAGTATTTTGGAAAGCAAGGTTGGCACTAAAAAATACCAAAGTGTCGATCGCCTCAAGCAAGCGCTTCGCCGGGAATAAGCCAAAATACCGCAGAGCAACATTCGGGCAGCGTGGGACGGTTTCATTGGCCGTAATTCGTACGAAAGCTGACAAATTCAAACAAATCTAAACTTATTCTAAAATTTGATGCTATTTTCGACATTTTTTTCTTTCATTCAATAAATTTTTTAAAGAAAATGTAAAAATTATGGGGTCTGTCTTTATTGCAGTTTTTTTATATCACCCTCTAATTATGTAATATTTGTAATGATACTGTAAAATTGTTCATTACTTAATTCCCGAAAATGTCTCCTTATCTTACGGAAGTGCGATCCTTACCCACATTTTCACAAATATATTATTATAGTTTAATAACAATGTTGAACCATTTTGAACTTTCTCTCCATACCCTTAAGGTACGGATCTCCAAAACGTACGTTTTGTATGTACCCTTGAAGTACTAATATTCAAAAAGTTTTTCTTACTTGATCCACCCGCATAAAGAGTGGTGGAAATTTCAGGCTTTAAGCACCTTATCATGTGCCTCGAAGTAATAAAATTAAAAAAACTCCATGGGGGCTATATGAAGACGAGGACCCGCATATGTATTTTTTTGGCATAGGCTACAGAAGGCATTAAGAAGCCATTCGAGAACGAAATTTGAAACAATTCCGTGGAATAATGTCGTTAAAATCATTAAATTATCGGATCTTGGGAGGAGGTCTATCCATAGACGTGGACCTGAATATGTAATTTTTTTCTCATGAGCTGTAGTAGCCATTAAGATCTCTATATACGAAATTTGAGACAATTTCCTTGTATAATCTGGCTAATATTATCAAAATAACGAATAAAGGGAGATACCGTAATATGAGGGCTATACGAAGATGTAGACCTGCATATGCAATTTTCTTGCATAGGCTGTAATATCCTGGTTGGTAGGTACCGTTATATGGGGACTAGACGAAAACGTGAACCGACATGGCTCAATTAGGAACAGAACCTGCCTACTGGCACAATACACATGTGTGCAAATTGTTAGCATTCTATCTCAATCCGTTCGAACAAAGAGACAGACAGACGTCGTTTTAGAATTTTACGCTTTGTAGGGTCTATCATGAGTATTTCGAGTAGTTACATACGGAATTACATAGATAACATACACTCCATAGAATGGTAGCGACTCTCGAGAAATTAGAATTAGGAAAGCCAATGACAAGCACTATGTTCGCGAACTCCTAATAGAGTAAGCAATGCACACAGCATCGTAAAAAAAGATTGATCGGTTCTCCATATCTTATTCCAAATATACTCGTGATTAAAATGGTGTAGAACAATTTTCAGATCTCATTGGAGGCTACCAATCACCTGTGGAGCTGTACGTTAAAGGAACAATGCGTAACCTCTCGATATAATCGGTTGAGACCCCATAAATTATATTAGCTGCGAGGTTTGGATCAATGATACACACAGCATCGATAAAAACAGATTGATCGATTCTCCATATTTTATCCCAAATCTAGTCCTGATTAAGATGGTGTAGAACAATTTTCAGATCTCATTGAAGGCTAGCAATCACCAGTTGAGCTGTACGTCAAAGGAACAGTGCGTAACCTCTCGATATAATCGGTTAAGACCTCATAAACTATATTAGCTGCGAGGTTTGGATCAATGATGCCTCGTCTTAGCCTTATGAAAGTTAAATACAACTTTACTTGAGATGAAATCTTAAACTGTTTCAAATCAAACGACAATGTCAACATGCCGATTTTTACTCTTTTACCCTTTCCCACCACCTTTCACACATATTTCTGCAATGTGTTGTCATGGCTCTGCTCCAGAGCCAGAGTGCGCTGTAAGATATTTAAAATTATAAATAATGGCTTACGATTTTTATTTGTTGTTTGTGACAGTTGCCAGATAATAACCATCGTCTCAGTGACACTGTTCTTATGGCCGATTATTCCATACTTATATGTATATATCTGAATGCACCAAAACAAATCGTAAATTTTTTACTTCAAATTACCCATTAAGTTTTTGATTTTATAATGAAGTTGTCACAACACTCACTCACGCATGTGGTGTGGTGTGGTGTGGTGTGGTGTGGTGTGGTGTGGTGTGGTGTTTGTTCTCCTTTTTTGTTATTTTGCTTTTCATATGAATCGATCGGTGTTGGTTGTGAGCTGCAAGTTACAAAAATGGCCAAAGTAACAAAAAAAAAAAAAAAAACTGAAATTTCATCTAAATTTAATAAGAGTCAAGTTTGGTTTTTCCCCCAGCAGTTAAATTTGCAAAATTTAAATGCACACACTTTTTTGCTCCAATATTGATACTGCGTGGCCATAGACAGAGGGAAAAATATTTGCCAAGTAACAAAAATATTCAAATCAGTGAGTTTGATATTCGAGAACCTGTTGTAAATCACTGTAGCTTGGAGTAAGGCGACACAGATATATGACTTTGGGTTGGATACCTCGTATAAGTTTGTCACCAAGCTTTATTTGTTGTTGCTAACTCTGGAGGTGGTTTAGTGACTTTATTTCAGTATCAATTTCTTTTTTTTTCCATTATTTTATTCGATGTGGATTAAGATGTTGTGTCATGAGTTTTTAACTTTTTTTTTAAACCTTTAACTTCTGAGGTGGTGGTAAATTTTACCTTCCCTTCACATTTTCTTGAAATTCTCTATTTTATTACAATGAATAAAAATTTTGTTTTGTTTTTAGTTATTTTTTTTTTGCTTATTGTAATTTAAAATATACAAGCTTACTTTTAAAAAACAAATTATTATCAAATAAATTTTTTAATAAAGTTTTTTTTCTGCAATATTTAGAGAGGTAAAATTTACCACCACGTTATAAAATATGTCACCTCAGAAGTTAAAGGTTAAGTAGATGTTTGAATATATGGTTTTTATAACCCAAAATTACAATTGTTTTGACCCACGGAATAGGATATTTCCGTACGTATTCCTCATTGAAGGCAAATTCTGCATCCATTTACTTACCTATTTTGGAATTTCATATTGCCATTAGTACTGTGTAGTAATATAATATCAAATTCAATACCTTACCAAAATATTTTCTTGCCAATAAAAAGTTCACATTGAATTTTTAATAATTGCATTTTTATTTCAAATTTTCATTTTAATAATTAATTGATATAAACAAATTATTTTATAATACAATCTTTAAAATACAATCTAAAATATGTACATGTAAAACATCTTAAAATCTAAGACTAGACAAACGAATTAAAAATTATATAATTTATAGTCAAAATACAAATTGAAGGTGTTTTCAGTGATAATTTCAAAAAATATAATGCTCTCTTTCTCGAAGTTTTAAAAGCAATACCTCAAGGAGAAGGTCAAACAGTTTTGAGCATGTCCATTTGTAAATTTCAATGCTGTGCGTAAAGCTTCTCGATTGGACCAAACATATTGGTGAGCATATAATTATGACATTCGATGGCTCCCATTATACCCTTAGCCATATGGCTACAGAGGGATATATCATTTGATACGGTCAAAACGTGTATAGTCGAAATAACGGTTTGAGACCTCCAGACCTCTTTTGACCAAATCCGTTTCACAAAATTTGGAGTCGATCTAGCGATGTCCGTCCGTCTGTCTGTCTGTCTGGCTGGTGCGCACGATAACCTCCGCAGGGTGTATCCGATTTAGTCCAAACTTGGTACATCGTAGTATATTTGTCAAACTTCGATTGAGTTCGGAGATTGGCAATATCGGTCAACTCCTTCTGGTACCTCCCCCACAAAAAGTCGAAATTATCAAAAAATATATATTTTTTGTACAACTTTGTACATCCTAATATTTTGCGTCAGTGCTAAGTCAGGTGTGCAAATGGATAATATCGGTCCACTCCATTAAGTACCTCCCCCACAAATGGTCAAAATTGTGAATAATTACAACTCTCATAAAATGTGATCTAAGAGTCCGATTGTCTTCAAATTTCATACAACCCAATATTTGTATTAAGCCAAAGTCTGTTAAGTTAAGTTAAGATAGAATATATCGGTCCACTCCATCTGGTACCTCCTCCACAAATGGTCGAAATTTTCAAAAAATACGCAATCCGATAATCCAATTTTGCTTCAACTTTGCAATATTTGCGTCAGTGCTAGGTCTGGTGATTGACAATATCGGGCCGCTCCTTCTGGTAACTCCCTCACAAACTCTCAAAATTTTGAATATCCATGAAGCTCATAAAAAGCGAAATCAGACATGATACATCTAAAATATTTCCATCAACACAAGATCTGTTATAAAGATGGTAGAGATCGGGCCATTTCTTTTAATACCTGCTCCACATAGGGTTCAAGATTTTGAAAAACAAAAATGTTTTGCTCAAAAAAGCCAAACATTTTTGCTAACACAAGATCTGTTGTGAAGATGCTATACATCTGCGAACCCCTTCTGGTACCTCACCCACAAAGGGACACAATTTTCAATACTTTCATCTGTCTTGCTATATCTAAATATATATTGAACATTGGCTGAGGGCATACATCTGTCGGCAAAACCGACCGATACTTCTTTACTTGTTTTATTTTGCTCTCTAAGAAAGCTCTTAGATGAATCACGTGGTTTATGACGACACAGGACGGCAACATTTTAAATGTGTTTTGAAATCATGTGATATTAAAAAGTTCGTCAAAAAAAAAAAATTAACCCAAAAACCAGACAGATAAAATTTTGCCAAGTGAGGAGAATCTATATTGATTTTTTTCTGAGATGGAATCATTATATCCTACTAATCAGAAAAGTTAATTTGCAGCCAGGACAGGTTAAAATATAGCTCATAAATATAAAGTACTTTTACCTACGTCAAATGATCTTTTAAAATTAGAATATATTCTATTATAACTTTTGGGATAGAAGATCCTAGGTTTCATATTCCTGCCAAGGTTTTCGAAGGGTTCCTCCTTTTTATACTCTCAGCCATATGATTAGAGAGGATATATATCATTTGATATTGTCAAAATGTGCATCATGGAAACAACGGTTTCAGGCCCTAAGCCTCTTTGAACCAAATCCGTTTCAGAACGTTAACATCGGATTCCATTCAGACTTGGCACATCTCAATATTTCCAATAACACAAGACCTGTTATAAAGCTGGTCGAGATCGGACCATTCCCCCAAATAGCGTTAAAGTGTTTAATAACCCCAACGATTATAAAATCGAAGTAAACATCCAAATCTATATTTCTGCTCACACAAGATCTTCTGTGAAGATGGGATATATCGATCCACTCCTTCTAATAACCACAACGATTATAAAATTGAAATAAGCATACAAATTTCTTCATATTGCACACATTCCATTATTTCTACTCATACAAGATCTGTTATGAAGATGGAATATATCGCTCCACTCCTTCTGATAACTCCCCCACAAAGGGTTAAAGTTTTGAATATCCATGAAGCTCCTAAAACGCAAAATTAACATCCGATTCCATTTGGACTTGGCAAATCAATATTTTTATAAGCACAAGATCTATTATAAATATGGTAGTGATCGGACAATTTCTTTTGATACCTCCCCCCACATAGGGTTCAAGATTTTGAAAAACAAAACGCTCAAAACAAGATCTGTTGTGAAGATGATATATGTCTGAGAACCGATTTATTACAACTTGCTCTATCTAAATATTTCTCTCACCCAGAAACCTGAGTTGAATATGGAATTTATGATTTCGCATAAAATTGGATATAAATGTTCAATTTTCTTGTAATTTTGCCTATACCAATATTTGTGTCTGGAATACCTTCGTCGACCATATGTGGTATCTCACCCAGGTTTATTGTGCACCAAATGGCTAATATTAGCTCAAATGGACTGAATTTTGGCAATTAAGACAGAATTCAGTATAGCAGCAAGTACATAAAATCTAATGAAAATCGGTTCCGATATAGCTATATATATATGTTTCATCCGATTTTGTGTCAAAGTCCAAGAAGAATATTTGATACTGCACATCAGGTATATCTCCAAAATACTTTTACCAAATTTTATCGAGATCGGTTCTGATTTTTACATTGCACACCAGAGTTGGATATAGTTCCCAACTTGTGACTACTACTGCTGTTATTTCTAAGCCACTCCTCCGACAACTGTTAACATTATTCCAGTTACAGCTGATTATATTGTTTACAAGCGTACAAAAGCATGTTGGTGAAAATTTTCCAGAAAAAACGTTATTCGTGATGGAATTCAAGCGTGATAGTGTGATTTCTTTATATTTGACTGGAAAACCACAAGTTGCTATCGTTAGAGCAGCATTTAAATGTGAATAAATCTTTTGTGTCTCGTGTCTCGTGATATTGGTAGCGTAGCCCGATGTCAAGGAAGTGGTCGGAAGAAAACAGCAACATCAGCAGAAATGGTTCGAAAAGAAAAGAAGCGACTTGATTGAAACCCGCGTCACAGTTGCCGAAAAATGGCTCGTGAGCAGAACATATCACAATATTCTATTCGGCAAATATTTAAAAATGAGCTCGGGGTAAAGCCATTGAAAATCCAAAACGTGCAAGAACTTACACCGCAAGATAAAGAAAATAGACTCAAAAGAGCTAAAGAGTTGTAAACAAACAAAATGATCGTGTTTACTTCCCAAAGAGGTCAGCTGAAAATGTACACCTTCGGTTGGCCACCGGAACTTAAGCGCGGCCATGGTGATGGTGTGGGCCGCCATAACAGCCGATGGTCGCTCTCCGCTCGAACGTGGCATCAGAATAAATTCCGAATATTATCGCGAAAAGAAAGCGAAAAATGGAGGGTGTATTAAAGCCTTGGGCAAGCAAACATTTTGGCCCCAGACCTTGGAAATTCCAATAGAACTCAGCACCATCGCAATTAGCACGCGCCACTCAAGAGTGCTTACAAAATGAGGTTTCTCGCTTCATTTCCAGCGCACAATGGCCACCTAAATCTCCGGATACCAATCCGTGGGACTATTGTGTCTGGAATATTTTGGAAAGCATGGTTGGCACTAAAAAATACCAATGTGTCGCTCACCTCAAGCAAGCGCTTCGCCGGGAATGGGCCAAAATATCGCAGAGCAACATTCGGGCAGCGTGTGACGGTTTCATTGACCGTTTGAAGGCCATAATTCGTGAACAATTCAAACAAATCTAAATTTATTCTAAAATTTGATGCTATTTCCGATATTTCTTGCTTTCACTCAAAAAAAATGTAAAAATTATGGCGTTTGACTTTGTTGCAGTTTATTTTTTCTCTCACCCTGTATATGTAATATAAGCCCAAATTGAATAGATTGGACGCTCGGTCCGGTATATCTTTAGCTCCTGAAAATATTTTTTGTATAATTCATATCGAAGTCATATCATGCACTATACAGCAATATTATTTGGTACTAGGGTACAAAAGCCTGCAACAAATTTGCTGAAAATCGATTCAGAGTTGGATGTATTCCCGAATTTGTGACTACGCTAAAGCCATGATATGCATTCAACGCAGGTTCATAGTTCCGTATAGTGGTGTAAGGTATCATACAGTCAGCACCGCCTGACTTTCGACCTTTCCTTACTGGTTTAAAAAGAACGAAATGATCAGCTTTTCCTTGCCAATGAGTAAGTATTTTTTTTTTTTGACTTTCCAGAGAAATCCTTTTTAAAATGAGTTGAGCAGTTTGATAAAAATTTACAAAACTATTAAGACCTTTGGGAGTTACTGCAAGTCCGCACTTGGAGACCACCGTGTTGCAGTCATTGATGTTACACTTTTCGAACTTAAGCTTATAGAAATTCCCATATCGGATATAAGAGAAGAATTCTGAGATTAGTTAGCTTAGTTCGCATATTATTCTCTTACGAGCTTTTAACTTCAAAAGGGGTTCATGCCATAAATTACCTACCCAAGCATTGAATTTTAGACCTCAGTTACAAGTTTCGGTTGATTTGTTCCATTTTTTTGCCAATCTTCATAAATATATCACTGTATAGATCCCTTAAGAAAATTTGTGGTTAAGGTTTTTTTTTTAAAAAAAACAAAAAATCATTTTAATCTCAATACAAACCCAAATAACGTTTATAAACATTATTACTAATATTGCTTTTTTTAATTATGTAGTTAAAGAGCAGCAGTTATTGATTCTTCTTCTACCTTTTGGCAAGGAAACGCACTTTTTTACAGAAATTCTACTAACAAATTCAGTAAGACTAATTCCTAACAATATTTTGCTTCTATGTACATACAAAAATAAAACTACAATAACTAATCTTTTTGTACAAAATATCCAACTCTTAAGAGGACACCGCACTGGCGGTTGGTTGTGTCAGGTTATTGTTGTTGGCCGATTTCTCACGTTCCTGTAGCTCTTGGAGCTCTTCTTCTTCGCGGGTCAATGGTATGGTCGAATGATTATACAGACCCTGGGCCATTAGCTGCAGGGCCAGGGGATTTTTAACACCACTTGACTTTTTCAATTTGGCTCGTTTGTTTTGAAACCATATTTTGATTTGGGCCTCATTCAAGCCCAACTCAGAGCTTAGCTGTTGTCTTCGTTTTTCTGTCAAATAACGATTTTCATTAAATTCATGCTGTAATGAAAAGAGGGGAAGGGGGGGAATTTTTTTTTGTTATATTATAAATCAAATTATTAACAAAATGTTAATTATATTTCTATTAATTGTTGTTTTATTTAGTACAATAAACCCACCTTCAGTCTTGCTAATTGCGAACCACTAAACGCCGTCCGGGGTCGTTTATCTTCCGACGATGATGAGGATGATGCCGCTGACGCCGCCGCTGCGGACGCTGAACCACCACTGCCGGCTGATGTGGATGAGGATGTTCCAGTTGGTGAGTTGGCTTTATCATTTGGCCCAGTGGCTTTCTTAGGTTTTCGCACCCGTGGACCTAAACAAAAAAATGGGATGGGAGAGATGCAGAGAAAACCAAAACAATTAGAAATTGTTGCGTAAAGCGAATAAAGGGAAAAAGACATAAAAATTCCTTAAAGCAAATAAAACAAACATAATTGCGCCACAATGACTGGACGTCTATTGTGTGTGTGTGTGTGTGTGTTTGTGTTTGGACTTAATTCATTTTCATTTTTATACTGCATCACCAGACCGACGACCGGTGGTGGTGGTGGTGTTGTGCCAGAGCCTGGCCACCACACCCATAAATTTTGTTTGGAAACATTACACGTTTTGTCCATTCATTCATTCGCTCAGTGGTGCGGTATCTTGACTTTTTCGGCGAAGTTTTAAAGCTACAGCTTAGCTGGTTAGTCAGAGATTCCTCTTGGCCGCCCTTTAAACATTTATGGGAAATTTGAAAATTAATCGCAAAAAAATCGTGTCGAATTTTTTCGGTAGTAGTTAGTCATTCTAAACAGAATATCCATCTCCCTAACCACCAGCGCCTCTTTATTCGCATTTTCGTTAATGAAAAAAGAATTAATAGAAGTGAGTTGGAAATAATAGAAAGAGTGGCGAAAAATTTGAAATTATTTTGGAAACCCCTTTAATGAAAATCAACAGAAGACCTCTTTCAAGGCATTCTATCTACATGAAACAGGAAAAGGGTATTCCATCCTTTGGAGATCTATAAATTGTCAAATACCTGTAGAAAACCTGTAAAGGTTGAGATAAGATTGAGTTTTTAGCAACTTGAACTAAAAAGTACTAAATGCTGTACCATGTTATATCAAGAGTTTGTAGCTGAAATTCTGAAATTTTGCGTTATGGTTTCAATTTGGAAAAAGGATCCGGCACAGCTTAATTTTTGGATATTCAATATAAAATTGTCAATATAACAAGTAAAAAGGCTGTAACTTTGAATACCCTCCACCATTTGGTAAAAATTTAACAATTTTCAAAAAAATAAAATCTGTTCAAAATTTTGTTAAAATCTTAAAACTACCGAATGTAGCCGTATATTAGGGTCTATACGACGATGTGAACCTGCATAGGCAACTTTTGTCACAAGCTATTACAATATTCAAATGTGAAACATGAAAATCTTGAAAATCTGTTTATAGTGTAGCTAAAATCGTCAAAATACCGAATATAAGAAGGTACCATGGGGGTTATAAAACGTGGACCTGCACAGACAATTTTCTGTCATAGGCTGTAGTATTCATTATGAAATTCAAATACCAAATTTGAAATAGTTCCGGTAGATAATGTCGCTAAAATCATCAAAATATCGAATATCGGGGGGTACCGTTATATGGGGGCTATACGAAGACGTGGACCTGCTCAGACAATTTTTTGTCATAGGCTGTAGTATTCATTACGAACTTCAAATACAAAATTTGAAATAGTTCCGGTAAATAATGTCTCTAAAATCATCAGAATACCCAATATCGGGAGTTACCGTTATATTGGTGCTATACGAAGACGTGGACCTACATGGCTCATTTTCTGTCCTTGGATGTGGTATGCATTACGAACTTCAAATACCAAAATTGAAACAATTCCGATAATTAATGTCGCTAAAATCATGAAAATCCCGAATATCGGGGGGTACCGTTATATTAGGGCTATACGAAGACGTGGACCTACATGGCCCATTTTCTGTCGTTAGTCGTAGTATCTACTACGAACTTTAAGTACTAATTTTGAAAGAATTCAAATAATGTCGCTAAAATCATCAAAATACCGAGTATCGGGAGGTACCGTTATATGGGGGCTATACGAAGAAGAGGTCCATTTTCAATACCAAAAGTCCTGCAGACATAAAACACATTTGAGTAAAATTTTATCAATCTACTTCATTTCGTTCGGAAGCTAGAGTGATTTCCACAGACGGACAGACGAATAGACGGACGGACATTGATATATCGACATAGAATTTTATGCTGATCAAGATTATTTATACTTTGTGGGGTCTAAAATGTATATTTCGAGGTGTTACAAACGGAATGACAAACTTAATATACCCTCCATACTATGGTGGAGGGTATAAAAATACCCCGGTATATACTATACTAAATATGCAAAACTAAAGCTCTGAATTAAGGTCTCATTTGACAGTTGGAAATGAGTTTCGTCTGCATCTTGTGTACTTAATGATACCAAGTCCTGCACTCGTGTATTTAGCGAGTGGTTAAAGTTGAACTTTTGAAATTTGCAATTGCGGTTACTGTTTGTACGTGGAGGCAATGTACGGAAATTATATGACTGGGAATTCAAAAAAGGATGTGACGTAAAGTACTAATTGTTGACTACAAGCATTTAGAGAATGTGTGGAAGCAAAATTCTTAAATTTAGATTGTTCTTCTCTTAATGTATAGAGATGAGATATTTCCGCCGCAGAGGGCTTATATCATTTGATACAGCTAAAACGTGCCTCATCGAAATAACTATTTTAGACCATAGGTCTCTTTAGACCAAATCCGTTTCAGGACATTTGGAGTCGACCTAGCGATGTCCGTTCGTCTGTCTGGCTGGCTGGTGCGCACGATAACTATCGAAGAATATATTCGATTTGATCCAAACATTTTACATCGGAATATTATTCCACTCCTTCTGGTACCTCCCCACAAAGGGTCAAAAATTTGAATGTCTATGAAGTTCATAAAACGTGAAATTATTCATCCGATTCCATTCAGACTAGGTACATCTCAATATTTCCATCAACACATGATCTATTATAAAAATGGTAGAGATAGGACGATTCCTTCTGGTACCTCCCCCACAAAGGGTCAAAGTTTTGAATAAGCAAAACGATTATAAAATTTGGAATAAGCATCCTAGTTTGAATATCCACAAAGTTTTCAAGATTTGAAAAAAAAAAAAAAAACAAAACGCTCAAAAGAAGCGGAATAAGCATACAACTCTCTTCAAATTCCATACATAGAAACATTTTTGCTAACAAGAAGAATGGTAATGGTCTCTTGGCATCTGAAAAAATGCTCTAAAGGTCTGTTGGTCCCTGAGAAAAATTCTTTACAAAATCCACGTCTAAAGGTCTGTTTGTCCCGGAGAAAAAATTTTTAAAAATTCCACGTCTAAAGGTCTGTTGATCCCTGAGAAAAATTCTTTAAAAAATCCACGTCTAAAGATCTGTTTGTCCCAGAGAAACAGCCTGTTCCACGATGTCGAAAGAACACGTTCGCACAACTTTTACACGACAAACAGCTGATTTCCGTTCCACTAAAATCCATCAGAACGAAAATTTGCACGAAAATCAAAGCGAACGAAAACGTAAGCGTTTCAGTGTAATTTTGCGTTCCACTATCTTTTTTCTTTCGTACGCATGCGAACACAAATGTCAAAATCAGTCACTTGTGTGTTTGCTGTCGAATGATAAAAATTAAGGAAAATTGTTTTAACATAAACATTTCTTGATTGAAAATGGAAAGAAAAATGTAAGTAAAAATAATAAATGCAATTTAATCTGTGAACAACAAATATATATTTTTTTATTTTCTCAATTCCAGCACGAAAAAACTACACAGCTGCGGGCAATAGTTGAGTATATGGGGGAGAATCCTAAGTTCGCCAGAGGAGTGCCAATTTTTGGAAGCAGCAGGCAATCCCATGAAGACCACTGGAAGACACAAACCTAGAAAAAATCATTTTTTTATTATTTTAAAAATGTAAAAATACAATCATACTTACTGGTTGTTAGGTACTTCAAATAAATTCGAAGCATCTCTTAAATGCCTCCGTGGCACAATTTGAACCTCCTCCTCATCATCCATAAAAAATAGGGCTACAGAAATATTCATTTTTTTCTTTTTTAAGAACACAAATAATCTGAACACAATCACTAGAAATTTTATTTTGTTTGTTTATTTACAATTTGTTTGTTTACAACTGAACTGTCAGTTGAGACAGAGCCACTGCTGCTTTTTCGCGTTTATATTAGACATTTGGCGCTTTTTTTTGCCTTATTTCGCGATTAATTTTGCCAAAAAATATTTTGCAACACTGAATCACGTAAGGCTATGCGAAAGAAAGAACGAAAGTTAGTGGAACGCATTCTTATGCGAAAGTGAGTGAGTAGCCTTCGTTCGCACAAATTTTCTTTCGAGATCGTGGAACAGGCTGAAAAATTCTTTAAAAAATTTACGTCTAAAGGTCTATTGGTCTCTGAGAAAAATTCTTTATAAAATCCACGTCTAAAAAATTTTTAAAAAATCCAAGTCTAAAAAAAATTTTTTAAAATCCACGTCTAAAAAATCTTTAAAAAATCCAAGTCTAAAAAAATTTTTAAAAAATCCACGTCTAAAGGTCTGTTGGTCCCTGAGAAAAATTCTTTAAAAATCCACTTCTAAAGGTCCGTTGGTCCCTGAGAAAAATTCTTTAAAAAATCCACGTCTAAAGGTCTCTTGGTCCCTGAGAAATATTCTTTAAAAAATCCACGTCTAAATGTCTGCTGGTCCCAGAGAAAATTTCTTTAAAAAATCCACGTTTAAAGGTCTATTGTTCATGAGAAAAATTATTAAAAAAATTACCGTTTAAATGTAAAAAAATCTCAGAAAAGTTTTTTAAAAAATCCACGTCTAATAGGCCTTTGGTCATGAGATTTTGTTTTTAATCCACGGCTAATAGGCCTTTGGTCCCTGATAATTTTTTTGTTTTAAACCACGTCTAATGGTCTGTTGGTCCCTGAGAAAAGCTCTTAAAGTAAATTTTGACTGAAATGAGGTTTTGTAGGAGAGTTTTCCATAAATTCACATCGGGTATGGCTTTAACCACAAAATCTGTTTTTAATATTTCTGAACTGTTGGCAATTAGGTAAGATTTGCAATTTTATGTTTTCTAATACAATTTTATGAAAAATTATTCTTTGGAATATCTTGAAGCCCATTTTTTTGGATCCCATTTTAATTTAATTTAATTTTTTAAATATAATCCAAAATAATCCTTTTCTTTTTATCAGCGATATTGCCGAAGACACCATGAACCTTAAAATTAAGAATTCCAAGGAATCTAAAAAAAATTAATTGTGGTAGAGGGAGGAACTAGCCTCGATTATTTTAGTACCTTTGTATAACACGTGTTTTTTATTTTTAGCTC